CCGCCGCCGCCGCTGTATTGACGACGAGATGCCTCTGAAGAGAGTCCGACAGCCTGTACAGCTGACTAGACCGATACCACGCGCCACCGCTACCACCCATATCACCGCGCCTCAATTGGGACGAATAATCTCATGGGTACAGCGCCGGAGAAGCGACGCAACCAAGACCATACTCCCCAAGTTGATCGCAGCAGCCCAGGAAGACGCGAGTCGGCTGTGTCAATCAATATTCCACCCCATTCACCACCCAAAGGTATCAGTGACGCCACTCCATCCACCCCCGAAAGGTATCAGTAACGCCTCCGTCCCCCCCCCCTCATTCCGCCACCTCCCCCTCCCTGACCCCCCCCCACCCTCTCACATGATATTCCCTCCCCACCCCAGCATGCCCCTGGCCCCCGCTTCCACCGTCTCCTCCAACTCCCTCAGGGCATCCCACCGCGCCCGCCTCATCAGCGCCAGACCCCTCTCTAGCTCTGTCCATTCCCGTACCATGGCCACCTCTTCTTCCAGCGCGAGGGACGCCTGCCGCGCCCGCCACAGCAGCAGCTCTATACTCTCGCCCGCGTCCGCGTCTGCCGGTGCGCTGCCATCAGACCCGCTGAGCAACCCACGACGCAGACTATCGGCTTCCGGAAGCAGAGCGCGCTGCGGTCTCGTCTGCACGCGGGCACGCCGGCTATGGCGCCGGGGTGCGACGTCACCCCTCACAGGCCCCAGCCCTGGCCCTGCGCTTCGGTACGCGAAGAGAGGCCGGGAGGCTGACGGAGTCGCGTCGTTCACCGGTTCCGCTGGAGCACGCGGGCGAGAGGCCGCGGGGACGCTCCCCTCGGCCCTCGGCCCTGGCCTTGCGCCCCGGTACGCGACGGGCGGCCGGGAGGTCGACGGAGGCGCGTCGTTGACCCGTCTCGCCGTAGCACGCAGGCGGGACGGCATGGGTAGAGTCCCTGCGGGTCCCCGTGCTGATGTTGGTGCAGCGCCCCGGTACGCGAAGAGGGGCTGGGAAGTCGACGGAGGCGCGTCGTCCACCGGTTCCGCTGCAGCACGCGGGCGAGAGGGCGCGGGTACACGATTTGCGGATCCTGGCTCTGACCCAGCACTACTGCGCGTAACGTTCAGCCGCACAGCAGAGAGAGGCTTGTCGTCGACTCGTCTCGCTGTAGTACGCGGGCGGGACGGCACGGGTAGAGTCCCTGCGGGTCCTCGTGCTGATGCAGCGCCCCGGTACACGAAGAGGGGCTGCGAAGTCGACGGAGGCGCGTCGTCCACCGGTCCCGCTGCAGCACGTGGATGGGATGGTGCAAGGAGCCATCCTGCGGGTCCTGGTGCGGATGCTAGTACTGGTGCAGCGCCCCGGTATACGAAGAGGGGCCGCGAAGTCGACGGAGGCGCGTCGTCGACCGTTCTCGGGGCAGCACATCGATACCGCTCATCCGGGATGGTCGGGAGGGCTGAATTGCGCTCTGCTGGCCATGGACGTGGTGGTGGACCGGCCCCGGATCCGAGTGCAGATTGATGGCGTTCGAATGAACCCACTATCGTGCGCTGGGATCGTGGTACGGGGTCGGGTCCCCCGTATTGAGATGCAGGAGGGCGCTGGGCTGCGGTTCCAGACTCACGCGGCATACCCGCCGTGGCATACCGATCGAAGGGCGAAAGCACAGGTTCAGGGAACGGCGAAGGCGCGCGAACCGGAGATAGTAGACTCACCAGGGAGGCCACCAGGACTGTCGGTGGAGCGGTGAACGGTGAGAGCAGATTTGCCAAGACTTCCGAGGCGAACGTGGCGGCGCGGCGATAGACTGGCGGCACATGGGCCCTGCCTGCTGTCGGAGCGACTGGCGGTGCTGGGATGCGTGTAGGCGAGCCCCCGGACCTCTCAGCTGCGGTGCGCGAACGGGATGGCGGAACAGTCGGCTGTGCAAGGGGTTCCGACCGGCCCCGGGCTCCGGACACCGCTGGCCTGGAAGAGTGGAAAGCGCCTTGGATATCCCGTTGGACGCCGGGGGCACGGATGCGCCGCAACTCGACGTCCGTGAAGAAGCGCGTGGGAGGCGCATCTTCGATCGGCAATCTCCCAGCTCGTACTCTACGCCTCCCCGCAGTACTCTCCACCAGCCTTCGAGGCTCCGACCCCGCTCCCGCCAGCGGTCTCGACATATCGCCCGTCGCCGGATCACGCCACTGCACCCAGTCATCCGTGCGCTCCGCCGGCATCGCAGGACGCCAGAGATTCTCCTCGTCCCCGAACGGCCGCTGCCGAGCCAAGTCGAGGTGCTGTTCCCACCGAGCAGCATCGTGATCCTCGACGTCACGCCGCGGGATACCCAATGCCAGCGTATCGGAGTCGCCTACCTTGGACTCCCCTTCCTCCAGACCATCGCTGTCAATACCGTCATCCTCCGTCTCGTACTCATACTCATCATGCCGCCCCCACCCATCATCACCACCCCTCTCCAATCTCACCGCATCCCATTCTTGCCCCAGCTGACTAAACCGCGGACACCCCTCTGGACTCCAGTGGCCCGATCCCGCGCACGCCGGGGACCCGCAGACATAGCAGAACGACTCGCGGCACACGCACTCCACGTGGTTGCACCCCTCGCTGAGCTGGATCTTTCGGCCGCAGCGACGGGAGGGGCAGATCTGATAGTCCCGTCCGCGCCGCAGGGAGGCGAAGGCCGGGTCGTCGGTATCGTCGCTATGGTGGAATGGAGCCGGGCGCGTGCAGCGTTTCGCGAGGAGGTGGACGATGTCCGAGGAGCCGCAGGCGCTGCAGTAGGGTCGGTTGCAGGTCGGGCAGGGTTCGGACGGGGGTGGTGGCTGCGTGCCGGAGCTGGGGCCGCGGGGGCCGAGGTAGGTGTCGCAAGGTCTTGCTGGTCTGTCGCTGTGGCGAGAGAGGACCCTGACCTGGCAGTACAAGCGGTCATGGGGGGCGATATCGAACTCGGCGGATTTGATGCGGTAGTGCGCTTGCAGGTACTCGGGGAGGATGGCGACGTAGTCGGCGATGTCCAAGAGCTGGGGACCGAAGCGAGGGGGGTAGTGGCTCTCGTCTGTGCTGGCGAGCGTGAAGAGCTGGATCAGGCAGTCGTGACAGACTGTGTTGGTGGCGATGTGTAAGGGATCCGGGGTCCGGTCGCCGCAGAGGCTGCACTCTGGATGTGGTGGTGCCATGGTGGAGGTTGCGTGGGAGTGTGTCGAGGTGCGAGGACTGCGGAGGTTCGTATTGATTTGTGTTGCTGATATTTCAGTTGCAGAGATTTTGTCGCCGCGTGTGGGCTTGCTGACCGTGTCTGCGGTGGATAGGCTGCGCTTGTTTCGACCGAGCCGAGTCGAGGAAAGTTGGCGTACCTCTTTACGTGCAGATGAGGGACGCATCGCAGAGCATGTGCACGGGAGCCACGACCGTTCAAGCAAATACTTGGGCAGTGGGAAGTTGTGCGAATTATCGTGAACGCGCTTTCCGAGGCAACGCGACCCGAGGATGACCATTCACCGACATGCGATTGACGAAAACAAAGTCCGTGCGTTCGGAGCTCTTCCGCTGCTCACGGAACATCGAACGATGCTGCGCCCGCCAACAGACTCTCTCCCCGCAAGCACGATACCTGCGGGTCTGTGTGGTAGAGTATGGGATGTTGGCGAAGCGCTCTGCACGGGCTCTGAAATCCCGCCCTGGATAGCATTGACCTCGTCTCGTAATCATGACTCACGAGAAAGGATTTCAGCCGACGAGCCCAGGATCTACCTACCTACACAATCGCTGCGGAGTCCGCCACGAAGGCATCTAGCTCGTGACTGATACGAAAGTCGGCTGGGCTGCTGTCAGGGCCACGGGCAACAGAGTCACACGAGCCCGGGCCTGCTTCGATATCCTCCACCGTCCATCACACCCTAGCACCAGAGCGATTGATACGGTCAAGCATACCCGAGTCGAGTCGGTCCGAGTCTGCCCCTCGCGTGGTCCGCCGTCCAGGTCACCACGGCGCACGGCAGCAGTCCCCAAATCACGAATGACGTCCGTCAGCGGCTGCGGCGGAACTTTGCTCGCAAGCTGATCATATCCCACTACATCCCAGGAGTGGCACCCTTGGGACTCGATGCCGCAGGCCCCAGAACCACTGGGGTAGCGTGCTCCCGTGACTCAGGAAGAACAGTGGCGATGAAGACTCGAGATCCGAGTTCGGAACGGAAGCGGCTGGGAGGCGTAGCGGCGGCAGAGCGCCGGTGTGCTCCAGGCCAGGCCTCAGAACATGAACAGAAATGAGCACTGCAGTCTGTGTGCCCGGTCAGCACATCTGTCCCGATACTGTCGTCCTGTGTAGAAGTGACGCTTCAGCAAAGCGCTCAATAGCACTGCCAGCCAAAGCTGAACTCACGCGCACCATTCTTCTCTCTTTCATACACGCCAACGGGGCAAAAGAGAATGATTCTACCGCGGCTCGAACGCGGGACCTGCTCGGGAGACAGACGAGGCTTGTCCCGAAAGCAGGACAAGACGCAACTGTAAACGAGACGTGATAGCCACTACACCATAGAACCAGAGCTTCGACGGCCGAAAACAGCTTGCCCAAGGTGCGGGACGGCCCGCGCCGATTATGGTCGTTGAGACTCTCGCGTTTGTGATGTGTCCGACTGCTTCGCTATGTTGTGTGCATCATGCTGCTACAGAAACTGTGGTAGTCTCACTGGACTGCCGGAAAGTCGGCTGATTTCGGTGAAGGTGGCTGCAAGGGGCTGGATGGTCCAATGGTGAGGCCATCGCGCACGACGGTAATACCACGGCGGATCCATGCTGGTCGGTGACAAGGTCATACCTAGTGGGTCTGATCGGTTGCATCGTAGTGAGTCGTGGGCGCGTATCTTCATTGTCCCCTCAAGTCGAGCTGCGAAAGAGGGGAACGAGCTATCGCCCAATTGCGCAGCCCAGACACGTCCTCCCGCCTCCGGCTACCGAGCAGAGATCGCAGACATGTCTTCGACATACGGTACATGCGCTCTCTTGCTCCAACGAACCATCTTCCAAATCCATGGCATTGTCGTGTCGAAGTGGCCGGTCGCAGTCGTCGCATTGTAGAGCCTGCGCGTCTGGCAGGACAGATCTGGGATCGATCTGCATCTCGTCTACCCTCACGGGCCCAGCGGGCAGTCTCCAGAACGCGTGCAGCGTACTCTTCTGCGGTTGCTCTTGCACACCCACAACGGATGCGGTCTGGTTCGACATCGCGGGCGCAGCATCCGGATGTCGGCGCTGCGCATCGTACAGCCTCGAGATGGTCGACGCTGCAGCACGGCAGACATCAGCGAGTGTGCTCACATCCACAACCGCGCCGATCCAGCAGGACCCACCGTAGACTTGCTGCTCGTCGGGCCGATCGTCGCGGTGGCGTTTCCGCGTCCGGCTGTTGAGGTGTTGGGATGCCGGACTGTCGTCGAAGGTGGGAAAGGACCAGGTCGGCTTCTCTTCCATCGGTGGAGCGGGCTTGTGGGGCGGGTAGTAGTAAGGTATGGCGGGTGAGGAGGTGTCGGCGGTGGTGGAGGTGTAGGCGGGGGCTGGCGAGGAGAAGGAGAAGGAGGAGCGCTTGCGCTTGAGTGCCATTATGTGTCGTGGACCTTGGTGAGTGAGTGCGAGCGGTGTTGCGTGTCTTGGGCGCAAGATGGAGTACGAGGGGGCGGTGATGTACAGGTGTAAGTGGATGCATCAACGACGCGTGCGGGAGGACGCGATCGCGCACGCGGTGCATATCCTGTCACGCCATGCTCACGACTACACGCGACTGGACATCACCTCCTTCTACTCCACCACTACATGCGTGTATCTCCACCAGGAATCGTATGATCTGCAACGACATGGCAACCAAGCAAATCGTCCGCGACGCCAGCCACGCCGGGTCGTGGTACAGCGAGTCACCACGCAGACTGGACGCCGAGCTCGACGGCTGGCTCGCCGCAGTAAGGACGCCCGTAAAGTGTATCGGTCCACGATCGGAAGGCCAAAGTGTTGCCGAGTTGCCCGTTGCCGGAGCCAGAGTCATCATCGCGCCGTAGGTGTCGAACGTCGAGGTAGGTGGATGGAGTACTGAGCGGTCGACAGGCACGCCGGCTTCTCCTACTCCGGACCAGCCGCTGCCTGGGCTTATCGGTCTTGGGATGTCTCGAAGGCGTGAGTGGTTCCATTGAACTGCCATGCTTCCATCTTAAAAGCCTCTCCGGGACGCCAGATGACCGCGGACGAGAGGTGCTGATCGGAACTCCATTGGGTTTCTCTCCATCGCGAGACGCTGCGGAAGACTTGGCATCATGGAGACCCGGAACGAGGCGGCGACTGACGATCATTGTCTCTCAGAAAGCGCGTCTTCCTGCTCGGACCGTCTCATCACCACTACCTGAGCAAGGCTGCCCTGTCTCGATGCACCCACTATGCCACGCCACTCGGCAGTCTGACCATTGACCCTGAGACGACATCCGAACTGCACAAAAGCGGCCAGTTCGAATGGATGTCGCAGTCCGTCGACGAGGAGGAGCACAGCTTGGAGATGCATCTCCCTTACATCTACAAGATGCTGTCCAGGTACTCCTTCGATGTTACCAATTCACGCCAACCCGAGCGCCTCGCTGACGAGTACAGAACCTTCGGCAAAGACCCCTCCAGCTTCCCGCCGTTGACGCCAATCATGGTAGGCAACACATCCGTGACCACCGAAGTCCAACTCGGCAAGCTGCTCGCGCCCTTCCTCGCGGACCCAAACACCGCCTTCGTCATCTCCTCCGACTTCGCACACTGGGGTCTCCGCTTCCGCTACACCCTCTACCGCTCCCCGGGCTCGCCACAGCAAACGCTCACCGCTTCTTCAGCTACACCCACCAGGCCCCCGATCCACGAATCCATCAAAGCGGTCGATTTCGAATGCATCTCGGCCTGCGAGAGCGGGAGCCATATGGCTTGGCTGGAGGCGCTAGGAGAGTCGTCCAATACGGTTTGTGGACGGCATCCAATCGGGGTGGTGATGGCGGCGGTGGAGGAGGTGCGGAAGGGTGGGCAGCAGGGGGCCGGGTACTTCAAGTTTGTGCGGTATGAGCGGAGCGGCAAGGTGGAGAAGGTCAAGGAGAGTAGTGTGAGTTATGCGAGCGCGTATGCGGTGATCTAACCCTGGGCACGAACAGGGGGCAGACTTCGTAGAGACCGGTCAGGAGGAGAACACGCAGGGCAGCTTACCTCGTCACGAGCGCAAAGATTGACCAGTCTCATGACAGCTCCAAACCAACTCGCCATCAGGCATCGTGCTCGTCGTCCGGCGTCTCAACGTACCTCGACTTGCTCTCTCCTCTCCGCATGAACGCCCTCCTCCGGTCTCTTCTACGCAGCACCTAGGCCGGGAGTCGCACGCTGTGGCTGGGGTGTTCGTCTTCGTCCACCAACTCCTACTCGATCCGCCTCCCTTCCTTGTCGACCGGCCGCCTCAGTACCTCCCACCGCCCCCAGCACCCCGTCAAAACTTCCGCGGATTGCCTGCGCGACAGCCACAGCTCATTATATGCCGCGTACAGCGCACCCGCGCACGCCTTGATCGCCGCCCTCCTTGCAGGCCTTGCAGGATGCCGGGAGAGGAAGTCGCCGTGCGCAGGCCGCGCAGCGTCCGAGAAGACCGCGCACGCCATGCCCGCCACGAGACCCGAGCAGCCCTTGAGTGGATCCAGCTCGGTAGCTCGCGCGTGCACCGCTAGGACCAGCGCCTGCGCCTTCCTTCTTGCGGATTGAGTGCCGGGGAGGACGCGATTCAAGCGCGTGATCACTTCGAGCGCCGTAGCGTCCACAGGCAGGCTCGAACGCCCCAGCAGCCGCGCTCCGCGGAATGGGCGTCCGGAGCGTGTGTGGCCCGTCCGGGGCTGGTCTTGCAGCGGAGACGTCTGTGCACGCGCGGGAGTGCCGCGGACAGGTCGGGGTCGGACTGTGGGCGTCAGTGTGGATTTGGCGTGGAAGTAGACAAGCTCGCGGTGGCCTTGACCCACGACGCGGTTATCTGCATGTAGTAGTGTCATGGAAGGCAAGGTCTCTTATGGTAGATGCGAATCTCATGATATACGGCAGTTTGACTTCGTGTGTCTCTGGAACGATCTCGGCTGAGCCGTCGGCGCGCTGTGATATTGTGCCCGTTGCTCGTCGACCCGCGGTTCGTCTTTGTTCATTGTTCGTTTTCCATTACTGGCATATTGGCGTCATCTTACGGGACAGACCATGGTGCTGAGATTGTGAGACGTCTTTGTTGTAGCACCCTCTCGTGGCCATATCATGATGTCCGCGCAGCACTCGAGCGTGTACAGCTCCATAAAGGCAGCCTGCCGGGGCACAGCGGGCATCGTTCTTCGCCATGACAGGCTCGTAATCTCGTGCAGTGCAGGGGTCGCCTAACACAGTGCAGAGCACCTAGCATGGGTCTGAGATTCAACAGCACCGAGCATGCACCCTCCACTTCACCCTTCCACCTCGACCTGCCTCCCGCCCCCCGAGTCCATATCCGGCATCCAGCCCTTCGGCCGCTCCGCACCCCGCACGATCAGCCCATACAGCGCCTTCTCGACCTTCTCCACGCTCGTCTGCATGACGCGCATCTTCTGCCCGACATCCTTGGCGAAGGACCCGTAGCCGCCGACGTTGACGCCCTCGAGTGCTGCCCGCAAGCCCCGCATGTCGGTCAGCACATTCCTCGCCCCGCTCGAGCCGCCCGCGTCGACGTCCATGGTATCAGGCTCGGATGCCGAGATGCTGGGCAGCTCGCCACTGGTGGCCATGGCAGTGATGGCGAACCGCATCAGCTCGCCCGTCATGTCGTACACGCCCAGCACCCAGTCTTCCGGGCTCAAGCGGATACCGGGACCGTCTTCGTCCAGCGCCCGGAGCTTCTCCGAGGCGTCTTCGTAGGAGAGCAGGGTGGCGCTCTCGAGGTAGTGCTGGAAGCAGGCCGCCTCCATCCATTCCTGGCAGCCTCCGGTGATCTGCCGGTTGTATCGCCAGGCGTTCAGACCTTGAAGATCCTCGGAGACGACAGCATATTGGGCTTTGATGATGTCGTAGTACGGCTTGTTGGACTTCGCGGCGTGCTGTGGGACGGGCTTGTTGAGTGTGCGAACGCTGCCGCAGGTGTCAGTGCGGTCCTCCATTGCCACAGGTTGAATTGCTGTACCGCTGCAATGTGAAGATGCTATGACATGATCAGCGGCTGACCAGGCAACGAACGATGAGATGCTGTGCCCACATCTTCTTCGACGCGGCCGTGATGTCTCGCGATGCCTTCGTGATGCGTTCGCGCCGGTCGTGGTGTTCGTCGAGCTCGGCACGGAACTGCTCGAACATGGGCGTGAAGGCGCTCGGCTTGTCCTGTCCTTCCATCTCGGCACGGGACCGCTTCGATCCCATCAGCGACAGTAGAGGTTATGATGAGAAAGCCACTCTGTTTGAGCGATGGTGGAGATGGAGTCCAATGTCGACCTCACGCATGACTCGTGCTGCGCCAGAGTGGTACATGTGCTACATACCGCGCGGA